AGCAAATTGGTATTAACTGAGCAGCACCTAAATGGACACATAGGTACTACAGTAATAGGGCATTGGGCAGGTGGGAGGGGGGAGGGGGGGTATATACATACATAATGACTGAGATGTGCACCATCTGGGGGATGGTCATGCTGGAGACTCAGACTTTTGGGGGGAGGGGGGAAAGGGCATTTATTGAAACCTTAAAATCTGTACCCCCATAATATACCGAAATAATAAAAAAAAAGACATGGGAGCCATAGGCTGACCCAGGGAAAGAGCATCTCAGGCAGAGACAAGAGCAAGTGCCAAAGCCTCCTCCAGCGGGGGTCAGCCTGGTTTGTTCTGAGGATCAGAAAGGAAGCCAGTGTGGTTCAGGCAGAGAGAGCAGAGGGCTGTGCTACCCCGAGGACGGACAGGGAGTGGAGCCAGAGACTAGGGCCTTCTGGGCCACAGTAAGGAGTTTCGATTTCAGATGTGCTGTTCTCCAGGGTCCCGGGCACTGTGGCGTGTCACCCAGGTGTGGTGCCTCTGCACAGCTGCAGAGAGGAGAGAGAGCACATGAACAAAAGCACAAAGACAGCTCACTGGGTCAGCGTACTCAGCTCTGATTCCTTCCTTGAACTCGAAGCAGGAAATAAGTCCAGGGTCCAGTACCCATGAGAGAAGGTGGTGGAAGGTTTGATGGTGGCCAACATGGAAGGAGCTGTTGACTCTGTATGTCTCATTTGCCTTGTTCATCAAGGGGTTTGAATTATCAATGGGTTTTCAAATAGTTTAAAATTGGAATCTCTTTATATAAGCAAAATCTTTCATAGAAGCTTACCGTATGTCAGCTTCGTCTCCAGGGACCTCATATGCTTTATTTTGCAGAATCCTTATAAAATCGTTATGAGATAGGTATGCTTAATGTTCCCACCTTACAGATGAGGGAGCTAAAGGGCAGAGAAGTTGGGCAACATGCCCAGGGTGGGAGCAGGTGTGGGCAGAGCCTGCTAGGGAGGCACTTGCAAACCCATACCCCTCCCAGAAGCAAGCCAGAAATTCCATTTCTCAGGCCCCTTTCACTAGGACTTGCGATGAGCTTCATTCTGCTAAGACCTCGCTCTGGAATTGTGACCTTTTGGGGCAGCTCCTTTGGCACTGTGTTTTGCCTCTTTTCTTAGTTGTAAGTGGTGGTTTGGAGGTTGTTGGAAGGGGGAAATCAGATGAATAAAATCAAGGAGGTGGCTGAAACAGCAGTGTAGCAGAGAGGCAATGGAGCTGTCAGGAAATGGGCACAGTCCTGCACTCCTGGCTAAAAGATGGGGGCTCCCCAAGCCTGGAGCCTGCTGATGCCTTTGATAAAACTTCAGCTCTTGCTACAGCACCCCAGTGTCAGCATTCTTTGGCAGATGTCCTGATTGGCTGGGAGGTTGTTGCTTCCTGATACAGTGGTGATTAGTTCTGAAAGATGGGGTAATAGCCACATCTATCATTTCTGGGCATTTACCATGCATCGTCATTGTGCAAAGCATTTTCACACGTATCATCCTACTGAGTTCTCTGAAAACTCCCATGAGGTGAGCAGGTACCCTGGTGACCTCATCCTAGTCCTCCCCCTGTTGACCACTACTATTATCTCCATCCTCCATTTGACAGATAGAGAAACTGAGGTTCAGAGAGGTGAAGTAACTTCCCCTAAATCACACAGCTAATAAACACCTGTGCTATGTCTGGCTGACTTCAATGCTCATTCTTCTAAGACTCAGCTGATATGGATTTTTAAAACAATTTATTTGGGGCTCTTTGCTACTGTATAGAACACCTGAGTTATTTATCACTAAGGTTACTAATAATTCTGTGAAAACATATCTATCAGCTGGCCCTGAAATGTCCTGAAATGAGTTTGAGAGCCAGATGACTGTGACAATTGAATAGTTTAAAGAATTTTGCATGGAAGCTGAAGCCATATTAAGATAGATCTTTATTTTTGTTCCTGTGTGTGAATGTCACAAGTAACAAGGCATATGTTGCAACTTGGTTTCTAATGACTAAAAAAAAAGAGAGACAGTGGGGCAAATTGTCATTGTTGGCATTTTCCCAATGATATTTGCATTTTGGTTTCTATCAGAAGTCCATTTTAGCAGAGAAATGTAGCTTTAGTCACTAGAAACTGCTCTTCCCTAGGAAATAATCATAAACGTAATAAGCAAAAAGAATAGAAAATGCCCTCAGGAAAAATATGACCCATCTGAGTTCAGATTCATTGTGCAGATTGATTCATTCTTTTTCTGACATTCTTATTCAGGAAGGGAAACTTGAAAATGTTCTAAATTTTAGGATATTTAAGATTTGCAAGGAGTCAGGGGAGAGGGAGAAGGAAGTAAATTTCAGTCCCATGGGGCAGGGATCAAGGACAGATTTCCTCAACTCTTAAGAACCATTTTACATGTTCAAATCACCTCGCAGTTCCTGAGTTTCCTCTGCATAAGGCACATACTGGTTGCTATGGGAGGATACAATAAGGTCATGATTGCTTTAAAATTATTCATAATAAAAACACATTTTGAGACTTGATTCTAAATGTTAAACTTAAATTTGAGCAATTTAATTGTCCGTTGAATAGGAATGAAATCCCACTGGTAGGCAGTTATTTCTTACAACCACTGTGTGTGAAATTGAAATCTTAAGATACCATTTCAAATATTCACCTTCTCTAAGGAAGTTCTCCCCAAAGAGTTGTGAAAGATAAGAAACTGACCCAAAGTCATATGCAGTAATCTCTTTTACTTACAAACAGGTCAAAGCAAAAGCATATTATCAAAAGGAAACTTTATGTCCAAATTTGGCCATTCTGTGGTTACCTCTTGGAACACAAGGATATATTTATTTTAACAACTGACTTGAGCCCCATTCAAAACTATAGCAAGGAACACAGTAAATTTATCAGATTAAATATTTAATAAAACAAGCAACTGTAAACATATCATCTACTCCCTAAGGTAAAGAACATTAAAATGGAAAATGCTTATATGTTGTGTTTAGGAGGAGAAAGGAGTGAGGGCCCTGGTCTGTTTGCTTTATAAAAACAGGAAATAGATTTTTAATTTGGATGGGAAATTCTTATTTTAAATTCTCATTTCAACTTTAACTTTAATTTCAAGCTCTTTTAAAATTATCTCAATGATGTCTTTTGCATAATATAACAGCCACCATTTATGAGAGCTTACTATATGCCAGGTGCCTTCTATGCAATCAATCTTATATCTATTATTAGCCCCATTATAAATCTATGTGCCATACTTTGCATGCATTAGTTCATATAATCCTCAAAAAAACCTAAGCAATAAGTCCTGTCATCTCCATTTTACTGTTTAGCAGTTAAAGTCCTGCTCTTAGGCCAGGTTCTCACAGGTGTCAAGGGCGGGTTAGAACACAGGCAGTCTGACTCTGGAGCCACTACCCAATACTACCTTCTCAGACTTATTTTCCTAGGCCATGCTACCTGGTAGGTAAGAGCCTAAATAAACCCAGGCAGTCAAGTTCCAGAGTCCCAGCATTTAACCGCCACGTTGACTGGTTATGTGTAGTTAAAACTGTTCATCACAACCTGTATGTTTATTTTCATCTCTGGTAGAAATGAAAGTAGAGTGGTAGCTTACATATTTATCACATAATTTAGGCTCACCTAAAAATTATGGTGATTTTCTTTTTTTTTTTAATTAAAAACACGGATCTGATCAGGAAAAACATTTTCTATATACCAAAGGCCCAGCTTGGACCCAAGACTGCTCTTAAGGCTTTCTCCCACACACACACACACACACACAAACACACACACACACACGCACACACACACACACATGCACAAATGTTAATTATACCCACTAGGGCCCCAGCCTTAGGACACAGGGACAAGAAAATGACAAGAGCATGCAGGCAAGAGTAGATTCCTGGTTATACTGGTAACAAGCCAAGGAGGATTTGGCTCTGAACAGGGAAGACGAAGTGTCCAGGGGTTCACTTCTAACTTCAGCCACCACCTTTCAGGGTGAGCTAAAGGTCGTCAAGTGTCATCTTTAAAATGGGAACACAGTGTCTATGCCTATGATCCAGACTGTTCTCATAAAACTGGATTCTGAAAGGATTGGGTGGTTTCCTCTCTGCACGCCTTATGACTGGCATCATGCACAAACAGGCCCTCAGTAACACTTCCTGAGAACAGGCATCTTCAAGGCCCAGGAGAACCGAAGTTTTTTTCTATGGAAGGGCAGACTGCTAGCCTCCTCCTCCTCCCTTCTGCATTCCTCCCTCTTCCTAGAATGGCGTTGGAGGGGAAAGCTGAACCCCCAAATCCAGTCTGCCTTCTTTCTCTTTGCCTGCCCCAGGCCAAAATATTCTCCCAGGTACCGTTCTTGATCACTGGAAAAGCACTTTCTCTCGTCGGGTTATTACTGGCATTGGGGAGGGGGCAGTTTAACCGCAGGAGTGAGCTTTCTGGAAGGTACTGAGGGAGGGGATTCTCCCGCCAGCAAACGGAGAGGAGACCCGGACCAGCGTGGTCTCTCCCAGCCACCCTCCCTCGGGATTAGCTGCCCTGGCACTGCTCGGGCGCACCCAGCCGGCGCGGTCCCGGCTCGCGCAGCTCCACCGCCCCTCCGGAGCGCGGCCGCAGCCCCCAGCCCGCAGCCGGCAGGGCCGCGCTGTCCCGGCGTCCCCGCGCTCCGCGTCGCGTCCGAGGAGCTGGCACCTCGAACCCCGGGCGGGCAGGAAAGCCACTCGGGACACTTGCATTTCTGCAGGTGCTTATTTCACATTCTTGTCTGTCCTTGCTTGCTAGAGCTACCGGTTAGTTACTTGCAGCCTTAGTAAAATCATAAAGAAAAGAGAAGACTGGAAGCCCTAAAAATTGATTTAGTGACTGCCCAGCCTCCTGGCCAGGGAGAGTGTTCACTGAGCGGCTCTCCCGGTCCCCGACGCTGGCCCCTTTAAGAAGCCAAGTCAGTCCTGCTGCTGCTGTTTGTATTGCTAATACCCAGGAGCCCCGTTAAAAAAAAAAAAAAAAAAGGGAAAAAGGGGAGGGGGGCCTGGGCAGCTGTCTCTTTAAATGTGATTTCCTTCTATTGTATTTGAATCGTGATCAGGAAAAAGGAAATGAAACCAGAGACAGAGGGAAGCTGAGCGAAAATAGACCTTCCCGAGAGGGGAGGAAGCCCGGGGAGAGGCGCGCGGTCCCCTGCCCGCCCGGCCGCCGCCCCCTCTCTGCCCTGGGCGGCGAGCTGCGCCCGCGACGCGGCCGGAGGTGCGAGGGGCGCGGGCGGCCGGCGGGCGCGCACCATCCCCGCGGGCGGCGCGGAGCCGGCGACAGCGCGCGATCGGAGCCGGGCGGCGGCGGCGGGACCGGGATGGAAGGTTAAGTCCTGAGCAGCAGCAGCAGCTGCAGCCGCCCGGGCCAGGCTGCGCGCCCCGGCCCCCGCCTCGGCCGCGGCGCGCCCGCAGCCCGGTGATTCGCTCTCTCTCTTTGGCGTTTGAAGGGAGCGCGGTGACTGTCCTTGAGCGCGGAGGGGCGAGCTCGCCGCCGGAGCGCCGGAGCAAGCGGAGGCGCAGGAGCGGCGGCGGCGCCCGAGCACCCGAGGGGGTCCGAGCCCCGGCAGCCGGCCAGCCCCGCGCCACAAAGGGAGCGCCCCCGCCGCCCGGCACGCCGCCTCCCTCCCCAATGTCCTCGGCCATCGAAAGGAAGAGCCTGGACCCGTCTGAGTAAGTGTGGCGCCCCTGCCACCCATAGTGTCCACGGCCTCGCGCCCTGGAGCGGCGGCGGGCGGCGGGCGGGGGCGGCGCGGGCGGCCCTGGAGGGGCTCTGGGTGCGCGCCCATAGCGTGCCCTTGGCCCGCTCTGCCCTGCGCGGGGCTCCCCCTTCCCCGCGGGTGACTCCGGGGGACTGGGAGAGGGACTTGGCGGCGGGCGGCCGGGAGAGGGGATCGGCCGGCCGGGAGCTTCTGCTTGCCCCTCCAGGCTACCTGGGACGCTCCCCAAAGCCACCGCGGGCCAGAAAGTTTGCACAGGAGCAGGCACAGGGGGAGCTTGGAGGCGCGCAGGTGCAGTCCGGAGAGCGTTCAGGGCTTGATTCTGCCCCCTTCTCGCGTCTCGCTCCTTCTCGGCCCTCTTTCTCTTTGTCCATTTGGTCTTGGAAAGGGGAACATTCCAACTGGAGGCCTCCGGGGGTCCCCGACTGCACCTTTCTCGGTCCGCAGGTGCAGCGGCTGCCAGCTGCGCGGAGCTCTCTCCGGCTTCCAGAGCCTTCTAGAGCAGCTAAATCCGGAGTAAATCTGGGTACATGTACCCATTGGGGTCCACTGATGGGGGCCTGTGAACCTCAAAAGTTAGTGCACTATTTTGTGTATAGATGAATTTTTCTGAGGAGCGATCTCATAGTGCTTACCATAGTCTCAAAAGGGTTTTGGGGTCAGGGAATCAGAGCTGTAATGAGCATCTGCGCATCTGTTTTCTCAGCCTCATACTGGTATGGAATGTTCTCCTATTCCCAACCTATACCCCGAACTCATTCTTTCCTGTTAACACTAGGAGCTAGGGTTTTTTAAGATATCATTTTCTTGTCAATGCAAATGCCCCTTTAAGAGTCATTAGCTGTCTGGTTTTGAGAATTTTTATTCCTTTGAAGTCCCCTTCTAATCCTTTGAAGGGATTTGTTACACAAGACCAAAGGAGCTGGTTAATGACTTGTCCATTTGTGCTTTTAAAGAGGCATTTGTTTTGTTTTTTCCTTTCCTGCTTTAAAAGAATTATGCTTTCCTGCTTGAAGTACCCACCCACCACCCCCTCCAATTTCAGCTTTCTATGGTGTTTATTTACCTGTGTTTTACCCTCAGTTAAGGGCATAAAAGCTCAGCATGTTCTCATAAAACACAGGAAGTACCACCATCCAATGAGAGTATAAACATCACTGTTCAGCCTTGAAGGTTAAGACCCGGGTTCTACAAGGAGCTAGGTTCCTTATAACAAAAGCCCAGCTTCCTTAAACAAATTCCCAGGAGAAAAATAACATTCCTTTTAAAAAGTATATGTCTGTGCAACAATGGGTTTAAAGGGTGGTTTGTTCACTTTTTTAATAAAGTTGGAATTACAACTGAGCTCTGAGTTTCACAAGACAAGATGGTAGCACTACAGTAAGGGAGTGAATTGGATGAATTGGTGCCTAATGCCTTTTCAGTCAGCAGAACTTTGTGACTAATCCTTTTAAGAGAAGATAAATCTGGAGGTTTCAGTTCCTGAAGGAAGTTTGCTCTTTTCAAAGTTTGTGCATTTTCACTGAGGTTAGAAAATGGAAACATCCTAACACAGCAGGCACCTGCTGATGGAGGCGCACCTAGACCACCCTTCACCTCACTGTTTGCCCAGAGAAGATGGGTTCTAATCAGAGATGTACAAGCTGGGTGAGAAATTGCTGCAGCACATATTTCCCTCCACCTTCTGCCTTGGAAATTGTTGAGAAATTATCCCAGAAATCCAAGCCGGAGTGATATTCAGGTATAATATTCAGGGTAGACTCTGGGAGAATAAAAAATATTAATTCGAGGGTGAATCCCATTCGGTCATTGTCTTGGATTGTCCACCAAAGATAATGTGATATTACCATTCATTCTAGAAAGATAGATTAGATGGAGCCAATATCTTATCCTTTCCTTCTCTATCTCATCTGAGGCCTTCAGGATAGCACTTTTCCTTTGCATTCCTACTGCGGCCCACTATCCAGCTAGATGCTTCTTTGTGGACTTAGTCAAAGCGCACCTTGGGTCATTACAATCAGCATCTCTCCAAATTACAGATAGAGACTTGCCTAGGCATGCAGAAATGAAACATTTAGGCAGAAAAACAGGCCAGAATTTCGTGAACAGAGAGATTTCCTCACCGTGCAATTGGTGGCCCCTGCTGCCTCCCTGTGAGTAACTGGAGCACTTCATTTTAATTCCAGGCAGTTTTGCTCCAGCTATGTGCAAATTCTCTTTCACAGCTGGTTGGCAGCATCGGCATCGGAGCATCCAGTGTGGTTCCATGAGGCTCCATGAGTGTTTTTGAAAGCTCAAAGTAAGACGGAGGAGCTGTGGCAGGAGAAGAGATGCAATTGAGTTGATGCACGTGAAGAGGTCGGGATATTAGTTATTAGAAGGGAGGCAAGAAGTTCTTATGTATAATCTTTAGAAACAAAGGAAAGTAAGTCAGGCTTTAGTGAATTCTTAAAACTATGGTCTTTTTTTTTTTTTTTTTTTTTTTCTTTTGAGACAGAGTCTCACTCTGTTGCCCGGGATAGAGTGCCATGGCATCAGCCTAGCTCACAGCAACCTCAAACTCCTGGGCTCAAGTGATCCTCCTGCCTCAGCCTCCCCAGTAGCTGGGACTATAGGCATGTGCCACCATGCCCGGCTAATTTTTTTCTATATTTTTAGTTGTCCAGCTAATTTCTTTCTATTTTTTTTTTTTCTTTTTAGTAGAGATGGGGTCTCACTCTTGCTCAGGCTGGTCTTGAACTCCTGAGCTCAAAGGATCCTCCTGCCTCAGCCTCCAGAGTGCTAGGATTACAGGCATGAGAGCCACCGCACCTGGCCTAAAACTATGGTCTTGATTTTGTTTTTCAAAGAAACTGGCTTGAGCTTTCCATTTCCTTATTCTAAACATGATAATCTCATGAAGCGCTCCTATACTCTATCTACAAAATATGGGCTTGCTTTTAGCATTCCTGAATGAATATTCATAGGGAATACTTAACACTTTACCTGACAGAGTCACCTGAAGTTGTCAGAGTGTGTCATAAACAGGATCACCTGAGCCTCTCCTCCCTAAGGATAGTGGGTGCTAAGGTTTGTGAGCACAGGCCAATTAGGACACAAGGTCACCTGGTAAGTTAGTGCTAGCTAGAAATAGGAGACACAGATTTATAACTCCAAGGTACCCAGGAGGAAACTCCCTTTGGGAATTTCACAGTTGGAAGAAGGTCCATTTTTTGAAACATAATAGATTTTTAAAACTAAATTTGTGTCTGAGTAGGGTTCCAGAGAACACTTGTTAATTATTACGAATCAACAAGTATCAAGTTTTACCTGTGTCCCATTTGGTGTTGGAATCATTCCTTCCACTCCCCTGTTTTCCTTTGGCAAAGTTATTTATTTTAAAATATAAAACAAAAGTATTCAGATTCCAGTGAAGCAACGTGAACGGCGGCACAATGCATGGCTTTTTAATGAAAGAACATGTATCCCAGGCCCACTATTAACTAATTGCCTTGATTGAGATTTCAGTGTCTGTTTAATTGCCTTCTACTCTCTTTAAAATAATCATTGCCCTGTCCTCATTTTTGTTTCTAAATCAACTTTATCCAAATCAGTTTCACTGTTGTAAAAATTTTCAGGTGCGGAAAGAAAGGTCTATTTGATGTCCTTCATAAGTTTGACAATGGCCTTATATCTAGGACTTTTCTCCAAAGATACATTGAGTAAGAAGGATGGGATGTGGAATTTCTGTTTAAAAATAAAATGAAAAAAATAAAATAAAATGAAATAAGGAGAATTCCTCTTATATCATGATGAGATTTTTATGTTGGAAAGAGAAAGCAACCTAAAATAATTTTTGGTCCTCTTCTTTCTTCTTCAGCCCTGCTTTTGTGCGGTTGGGAAGGGCTGGAGAGAGAGTGGCATAGACTCAGCAGGGAGTTTGCAGATTGTGGGCACTCTGGGCATAGTCCCGGGTGCCTCCTCTGAGGTTAAGCAGTGCCCTTGGGTGCTGGGTGTGGGAGGAGGAGAGAGAGAACTGTGAAGACAGAGGAGAGTCCGAGGGGAGAGTGGGAAAAAGCAGAAGCAAGAGCAGAGGTGCCCAGGTGGTGCTGGGCGTGGGCGTGGGGTACAGTGCCACCTGCCGTTGCCTTTGACGCCTCTTGGTGGCCTGCGTTCACTTAGAGAATCTAGGTGTAAGGTCTGACTCTATCCTGTCTTAACCCAAACTTGGCTAGGGCTCTCTGCAACATGGCCAAGAGATGTGTTGCCCCGTCCCTTCTCCTTATGTCACCAAAAGGCAATCGAGGGAGACTCCCTGTCTGGCCCAGAGCGAACCCTGACCTCCAGTGCTGGTCTCAGCCGTGAGGTCGTCCCTAACGCTTGGCCTTGTCTCCAGGGAACCAGTGGACGAGGTGCTGCAGATCCCCCCATCCCTGCTGACATGCGGCGGCTGCCAGCAGAACATTGGGGACCGCTACTTCCTGAAGGCCATCGACCAGTACTGGCACGAGGACTGCCTCAGCTGTGACCTCTGCGGGTGCCGGCTGGGCGAGGTGGGGCGGCGCCTCTACTACAAGCTGGGCCGGAAGCTCTGCCGGAGAGACTATCTCAGGTACTGTCCAGCCGCCCCCCTGGGGCCCTCAAGGCGGGGGTCGGTGGGCCACAGACACGTGCACCTGTGACTGCCACTCCTACTCTCGGCTTGGACACCGCCTGCCCAAAGAGGCTGAGCTGTGCAGGCTCAATCTCAGCTCCCCATGCAGAGAAGCAGTTGGCTTTTCTTCCCGTTTGAGAAGCAAGTCCCCAGGGATATGTTCCTATGTGGTAAAATACTGATGTTTTTAAAGGCAAGAGAATGACAAACACAAAACTCAGGACAGTAGTTCCCTGAGGAGCGGGCAGTCATGGGGGTAGGGTCAAGGAGTACGCATAGAGGGTCATAGGAACTGGGGGTGTTTTAATTTATACATTTGGGGGTGGGTTCTTAGGAGCTCATTGGAATGCTTCAAAACATATATAATAGGTCATAAATATTTTTTTGTATGACTCCAATATTATGTGATGAGAAATTTAAAAATAGCACACTGTTGCCATGGAACTCTAAGCCTTGACTCTCCTAGGGGGAAGGTGGTATTGAAGGACATAAGGGCAGAGGCCCCGAGTCAGTTGTAGGTTTGAGTCCCCCATTGCTTTCTAGCTCCGTGACCCTGGGCAAGTTACTAGCCTCCCTAAGTCTCGGTAAAGTGGGGATAATAATAGTACCTACTTCCAAGGAAGTGGCAAGGATTAGATAGAACAACACATGCAAAGTACTTGGCTTGGTGAGTGAGTGTCAAATAGTTGTTAGCTGCTCTTATAACTTACCCTCGTGACATAATCATTAAGTATTTTCCAATTGAATGAATGAGGAGATGGAAGAATGGAAGGGTGAAATAGGAACTTGACAACGCCAAGCGAGACAGGGGCCAAGGACAGCTCCTATGCTCTGGGTTATACTGTTGGCCATCTGAATATTCCAGCACTCACCAATTACCTTTGCCTGGAATGTTCTAGCATTTCTGTTTGCATCTTAGCTGTTGTGGAGGTAACTCTCCCTGTGCCCTCTGCTGTCAGATCTGCTCAGCTCTGTAGCTGTCGGTTTCTCACCGTCTTCCTGCGGCCGGCCGGGGGTCTGTGAAGCATGCGTCCCTCGTACATTAGGACGCTCCAACCCCTGGAAGCTTGTTTAGACTTCAGTGCCCTCGACTGCTAGGCCAGCTCTTCCTCCCAAACCTGCCTTCAGAGCATTTTACATTAAAAAAAAAAAAAATCTGCAGGCAATTCCACAGTGAAGGAAGCTTATCTGTTTACCCAAGGACTGATAGACTAAGCTTTTTCCCTTCCTAAATTTCCTGATAAAGTCTTTTCAAATTTGGTGATTCCAAGAAAATAAGTAGGGTTTTTCAATGATCACGATTATAATGTTGGTCAATTGTCCTTTTTCTTTCTTAAGTTACAAGAAAATAGAACTGGGTTAAATACAGACCTGGTTTTGCTCGCTCCCTCTTTGCCAAGGCAGTCAGAAAGCAGACGGGTAAATGACTCCCCTTGGGCCCCTGACTACATCCCTGTCAAATCATTTGAATCTTATTAAATGAAGTGTGGATAGAGTAAGGTCAAAAGAGCCCGGGCTTCTCTCTGTCTCTGCGGTTTTATATAACATTCAAGCATAAAACCAGTGCTGCCTGGGCTTGTTAATCTTTTCCATTTTCAAAAAGGCGAGAGAAAAAAAAATAGTCTGGGAGAACCCAATGTTAATTAACTTGTGTCTTGGTGACATGAAATAATTCTTCTCCCTGCCACATTCCTAGGCAACATGTTAATTAACTGTGTTAGCGCAGGCGGTTCCAGCCATCCTTTAATATTTATATTATTGTTATTAAAATGGGCAGCAGAAGGCTTAAGACTTGACACCTCTTGACAGAGGAGAAAAATTGTTTTTGCTTTGGGAAAGGTCCTTTAGCCACAGACTTGTTTACCTGCCTTCTTAGCATATCTGGTGGCATCATTTAACATGGCAAGTTGGAGGAGTGACTACCTGGGCCCTCTGATGGGGTGCAGTTCTTCTACCCCCCAGGATGCCTTTTCCCCATGAGGATAGCTGATGGCTGACTCACCTGTGACAGTCCTTTTCAGATATGGAGCCTCAAATATTCATGAGAGCCCCATTCAGAAGCCCTGCCACCGTTGTCTTGTATTGTTGGGAGCCTAACAGCAGCTGTTAATGTCTGTGCCCAGCCCAGAGCCCCTTGGATCCCTTTTTACCAAATGTTGTGTGCTTGGGGGGACCCCCCCACCCCCAGTAGGTTTACTCTCAACAACCAGTACCTGCATCTATTAGAGCCAGAAGTATGCCCCCCAGACTCCCCAGTTGACCTTAACCAGTCACAGACACTGCAGAAGTGCCAAAGCCACTTGGGTGTCACTTGCACTCTAGATTTCTTGCCTTCTGAGGGACTTTGCCTGAGGTTGCAACTTGCTGGGCTTCCTACCCTGCACCCTTATAGGTTTTTCCTGAGAACACATCCTTAATCAATCGCTTGCACAGAAATGCAGCCTGAGACCCCAGTCCTTGGTGCCAGAGATGGGCTAATGCTCAAGTTAGGTGTCAAGTCCAGGTTATTTTACTGACGTTAGAATCTCAGAATACCAGAGCCAGAAGGGGTTACCGGGGCCCTCTCTTCCAGTTCCCTTGCTTTACAGTTTACGACACACAAGCCCGGTGAGGGGAAGTCATTTGCTTGGGTCACCTAGCTAATTAGAGGTAATGCTGGGACCTGAACTTGTCTCCCAAATATTGGTCCTTTGTCCTTCCCTTCATTAGCTGCCTGATGTGTATTGTAATTTACCCCCTGACTTTCCCTTAATAAGCTCCCTCCTTCCTTAAGGATCTCACGCCCCAGGCAGTTGGATTCACTCCACGCACACTGTTTCTCAGTCGTTTATCCTTGCTCAGGCCAAACTGAACTTACTGAACAGTCAGGAAACCAGAACTGTCTTTCCACTCTGTGACCTCCACTGTGGCAGTTACCTACAGCTTCACCATCTGCTGGGTTAGGATAAAATGTCTTCCCCAGTAATGAGTTTGCTCCCAGGCGGTGCTTTGAAAACACTCAGGGATCTTGAAATGGAAAGAGGGATTCAGAGGGAAATTAGCCGGCCCTGGCTCTGACAATGAGCTCTCTGCTCACAGACCATCTCTTCTTAATTACATTAATTTTGCCCAAATGTTGCAAAATTTGTCATCTGCCCTTATCTCCCCTACAAGCTCTCAGAACATTACCAATTGATTCTCTGATACTCTGAAGTGAATAAGAACTTGTGATAACAAGAAGCATTTACCTAAAACCGTCCTAAAGGTTTTATTTGGAAACCACCTGCTAGCGTGCTATGTTAGCTGCCGCGTGTGAAAATTACTTCCTGCAGCGAGACTGGCGCAGTTGGGAATACACCCGAGTTGTGTTAACACATAACCAACGTTGGCTTAGCTGTTGACCACCGGTGCTCTGACATGCTCGGTTTGTTCCTCTAACAGCGAGCGGGGTAGATGCTATGACCGCTGCCACTCACTGAAGCTCAGAGAAACCAAAGGTCTCACCAGGGTCACTCAGGTACTCAGGGCTGGCCCTGGACATTGCAGCTGGCTCTTCTGAGTCCAGTGCTTGTGTTATTCCCATTTCACAGCAGGTTCTCAAACTTCAGCCTGCATCCGAGTCCCCTGGAAGTGTCATGAATACACAGACCGCTGGGCCTTCTCCCCAGAGTGTCTCAGCTGGGTGGGGGCAGGGGAGGGCAGAGAATCTGGATGTCTAACCAGCTCCCAGGCGATGCTGATGCTGCTGGTCCCAGGACCCACACTTGGAGAACCACTGCGCTGAGTTCGACTGTGTTGCACCCCCACCCTGACACTGAATACAGCTTGAAATTAGTGACTGATCTCCAAGGCTTAGGAGACTCCTGATTTAAATGTCAGAAGAGAAGTTTCCCCTGAAATTCATGCCTGTGGGGCAGTGAGAACCAAAAATTAAGATCTTCCAGTCCTTGCGGAGAGATGCTGTTAGCCTTGCAGATCTCTTCTGTGGAACTCCCTGTCTCCCAGCGGCTGGGGCTCCAGCGAGTGATCGGGTGGAGATGTGCTTTGCAGCTTCTCAGAGGTATTCGAAGCCAGCCCTCCCGAGGGTGGAGTCAGTGGCTGTTGACATGATTGAGTTTGGGAGCCTCAGAAGGACGCCCACTGCATTGCGTCCTGGTCAGCTCTCTCTCAAAGGGGCCCCAAGGGTCTTACTCCTGCTCCTCTTAGAGTACCTGCCTGAGCCTATATCACAGATTGTGCCAGCTGAGAGTCTCGTCAGTGAGGCAGGGCCCCGGCAGCCTAGGGGAACGGTGAGTGGTTTCTGGAGACAGGAAGAGGGCTCAGAAAAGGGAGGAGTTACGTTGGACCCACGTGCCAGCTTCATCCCAGTATCCTCTGCCTGCTGGGGGACAGACCGCGCTGGCTGGCCATAAATTTGGGTTCCATCGTTCCTGGCTCCTTGACATCCTGGAAGTTCAGCTTCCTTTCTAGAACTGGTCCCCACACCCTGTCTTCCAGGATTGTCCCTGCCACTCACTGTCTTCTTAGCTTTTCTCTCTTTTTGCTCCAGGCTTTTTGGCCAGGATGGTCTCTGCGCATCCTGCGACAAGCGGATCCGTGCCTATGAGATGACGATGCGGGTGAAGGACAAAGTGTATCACCTGGAATGTTTCAAATGTGCCGCCTGTCAGAAGCATTTCTGTGTGGGCGACAGATACCTGCTCATCAACTCCGACATAGTGTGCGAACAGGACATCTACGAGTGGACTAAGATCAACGGGATGATATAGGGCAGCCAGCACCTGAACACGCTCCGAGTGTTCGCTGAAGACACCCTTTACGGGGTCTTCACTCGTAGGCACTTTGGGGGTTTGAGGGTGGGGCGAGGCATATTTTAGGTGATGGTAGACCCTTACTGGGCACCAAGGCATAGCATTCAAGTGACATAATGCAAGGGCCAAGACTTGGAGGGGGCAAAATCACCAGTTCTTAGGGAGAACTTAGGGTCACAGCCTATGCATAGTAACTGACATGATTAGCAGAAGAAGGAACATTTAGGGGCAAGCAGGCACTGTGCTTTCGTGACGGAATTTTACACCTGCAGATAGGGAGTTGTATAAAGACTTGTTATGACTTTGACGCTTGCCAACTAGAGATGTGCGATTGATTTCTTTTCTTCCTGGGTTCTGTAACAACCCTGTTCCAATCACTGTCCTCCACACAAGGGAAGGACAGAGAGGAGAATGCTCATTCTTTTTTTCTTGGCCACCTTCCCAAGGCCCGTAAGCTTTGGACTCCCCAAGAAAAACTGCATGGAGACACATTTCAGTTGAGAATGGAAACCACCACTTTTCACCAAACAATTATTTAAAGCAATGCTGATGAATCACTAAGTTTTTAGACACCTTCGTTTTGAGGTGAAGAGTTCCACAGATTGTTTCTATACAAATATAAATCTTAAAAAAAAAAAGTTGTTCAACTATTTTATTATCTTAGATTATATCAAAGTATTTGTTGTGTGTAGTAAAAAAATAAAAACCCAACTCTGCAGACTTAATAAAAATGACAGACTGAGACGCAATGTGGTTTATTTGATAATGACTTACAATTTGGGATGGCAGGAAAATGGCCTGCTTTTTCTATTGTAAAGGAAAAGTAAATAAGCAATTTACTTTTAGGTCAAATAAAAACTTCCATTTATTGCAAGGGTTTATGTGAGGCAGGCATGTTTCTATATTACTGGCAATTATGTAACAGGTCATCATGTAGCTCAGAGGGATGTAGAATAATTAAATTGTTATTGTCAAATGTGCATTTCACTTCAGCATTGTATAGAATGAGTGGAAGGCAAGATCATTGCCTTTGGGAAACTTGTAACCTAGAAAGGACACAAATACATAAAACAGATTCCCTTTGGGAGAGGAGGTAATTACCTAGTTTGAAATGTGGGAAAGATGCTGAGCTTGACACTTCGATTTTCCAAGACGGGTGTCTCAGGGTATTTTATGACAAGTGGTTAAGAGGACCTTACTTTGAGGATTTAAAGCAGGTACCATGGTTGGTGTACTTGCCTTCACCTCGTCCCTGTAGCCACCATGAGCTGACTCAGAGTGCCACCTGCTGGTCATCACCTCTCAGCTCACTAGCCCAAGAGCGTCCCCATGTACAAAAAACCTAGATACACTTTTCAATGATCTCGTCAAAATACTGGCAAATGCAAGAAGCCTAAATGTGTTTAATTATCAGGAAATAAGAAACGTGCAGCTAAGGCTACAGTTAATTAACCATGAGATTTCTCTAAAATCTTCCCTCACTAAAGTTTGTTCTTTTTTTCCTCTAGAGGACAAATAAGGTAATGATGGCTCTCTTGTCCTGTAAAATGTTAAACCTGGTTAGGAAATTTGACTGCTTAAGGTGGCCTATTTAAACGAAATCTGATTATATTGCATTCCAGCCCAGGTGGTGGTAAGGAGCTGCCAGTGAGGGGATGTTTGTTCTGACTCAGTGGTTCTCAGATTGCCCCTGAAACAGCAGTCTCAGCATCACCTGGGCACTAATTAAAAACACAGACTCCTGGGCCCCACCGCAGACAATCCAAATCAGAAACCCTGGGCATGGGCTTTAGCAATTAGTATCTTAAGCCCTGAAGATGATTCTGACTCATGCTTAAGTTTGAGAATGGCTGTTCTAAAACATCCCCCAGCTAGGAAGGACACACATTCTAAGTTGTCAATGGTTAATATTTGATACAAAGGTTAATCACTGAGTACTCTTCTACATGTAGCCAAACACTGTCTACCCTTGGCCCCTAAACTTTCACATACTTTTATCACTCAGCTAACAGTTATTTTGTGTGTCATTTGCCGGATCAGTCATAATTTAAGCCACCATTTTCCCCTATATTGACATTAATAATAACAATGATAATCGAGTTTAGCTACGCAATTATCTTATAGGCAGTATTCAGTAAAAATACAAATGATAAATGCTCCTTGCTTTGGAAATGTAACCTTAAGTCTTAAATCCATTGTAGTATAACACATGTAAGATTCAAGAAATCAGCCAATACCTTTGCCATCCTCAACAAAGCAATAATTGACATTTTCCATTTGTCAATGGGGCCATCTTGCAGAATTGTAAATTCACAGGCAGAGTCTTTGTAGTAAGTCACCCCAGGGCCCAAGTGTCTAACCCACAACTGACTCAAGAGGAAGTATAATGGCTGTATGAACAAATGTCAATGACCCCTATGTGTGTTTTTGTAATGCTCTCCCTCTCATGGTTTAGATTCTTAGGCTAGTAGGGCATGATGACCACAACCCTGAAACTTTTAACTAGCTACTTGACCATTTGAGTTCTTTCCCAGAAATGGTGGGTTTTCTGCAAGATAAAGTATCTGAGATTCTGAAGGCCCCCGGGCAGACTTCTTGAAGCCAAGACTCACCATCCCCCTCAACCTGCCCCTCAATCCATGTAACCCCTAGTTAGTTACACCATGACCTGCACCAATGCATGTGGCCCCTGCCTAAAAAGCCCATGTCTCCATTTGTAGGACAGACAGATTTGAGGCAGCTTCGTCCATACTCCCCTAAAACGTTTATGGTATTAAAAAAATTTCTTTCTTCCTTGGCAAGCCTAATTGTCTCAATAATTGGATCATTTTGCAGTGAGTTTTCGGCCTGAATCAGGCCGAACCCCCCTGTGTTTTCGATAACAGAAGGACAGGCAAAGAGACATTGAGAGGGACCAGCTCTCAGTCTACCTTGGTGGTCCCTGCCTGAATGTGTCCCAGGTCAGAGAAGTGGGCACCTGCTCTTTCCCCTGGTCCAAGCCTACATTAAGCAGTTTGCTGGGACACTTTGCCTCCTCTCATCTCTCTAATGTCTTCTGCCCCAGACTAGCTTCTTTTTATTGCTGCTTCTAATAGAGCCACTTCTCAGGAAAATTTGGAACCCTATAAAGTTAAAATAGAACAATGATCAGGAGCTTTTTCATCTGAAGACTTGGATTCAAATTACAATGGTCTGACGTCATTTACTTAATAACCATGCACACATTATAGCACTTACCGTGTGCCAGGTACTCTTCCTGGAGCTTCACAATATTTGCTCCTTGGGTCCCTGTGGCAGTTTCTATTTATCATCACCCACGCTGTGCCCAAGGAAAATGAGGACCAGACAGGATAAGTAACTCACCCAAGGTCCCCCAGCTAATGAGCGACAGAAGCAGGCTTTACCCAAGGCTCTTCTCACTGTGCCCTGCTGCCTCTCTCCAAGGCTCCCCTCGCTGAACAGCAGATTTCTCATCTGCAAAATAGGTAAAATTAATACCTTCCTCCCCGGGTTATTTGAGGATAATAGAGTTTAGTCTAGCCAGAAATGTAAACAAAACACAATAATACAAGATTAGCACTACAATAAAGTTATGTAAAAAGTGATATGAAAACAGATAAGGGAACAATTAAATTGGCACAGGGGTAGCTGTCTGGAGTTAAGAGTTAGTGACATTTGAAATGGCTTTGGACCTGGAAGGGGGTGGTGTGGGCAAGAGCTAAGGCTCAGAGACCTTGACCTTGTAGGATGAGGATTCAGGTGAGGGCAGAGTTTGTGCGGTGGTGGTGTGGGCATTGGCTGCAGAGAGGCTGGGCTAGCTGGCGGAAGATTTAAATTCTGAGCCTGTCGCTTTCTGGTGGGGTGCCCTTTAATTCTCAATCCTCTCACAGGATGTTACTACTGTGTCAGACACAAGATCTGGGCCCAGTGAACACGACTGACCTCTGGCTTGACCTTGGATCCTCAGCTCAAGCTCCCCCTTCCTCCAGTCTGTCTCCTTAATCACTCCAGTTTGCAGCCACTCATCCAGTGGCTCTCAAACTGCTTAGGAGTCTCCTGATTAATAGGAGGGGCTATTAACATGCAGGGCTGGACTGCAAATCTACCAAATCAGTATCTCTTGGATGGGACCCAGAAATCTCATTGTTCATCAAGCAACCCCTTTTTCTTTGTCATTGTCGTTTGTGTAGGTTGCCCCCTGCCTTCGGTGAGAAATTTCTGCTAAACCCTAAACCCTAGTTCCACAAAGGCAGGGACACTATCTCTGGTTTATGCCCGGGTTTCCAGACCCTAGCACCTGCCGGCCACAAAGTAGGCCCTGGTAGTGCTGTTGAATGGATTTTTGACTCTCCTCTCAGTTTCCATAACAGTTATTGCCCAGCATATTTGCTTTGCTTTATTTTAAACTTTGTACTTTAAAACTGCATTTGGGAAGAAGGCCTTTTCTCAAACTAGCCTGTAAGTTCTTATCATCACTCACAGCAGCTATGCCAATGTGACCCATGTGGAAAAGAAGGAATAAATATTTATGGGATGGAAAGGGAAGAGGGAGGGCGGGTGAGTAAACAAATAGGGGAGATGCAGTTTTCTGTAATTTTGAGACTAAATGGCATATCAAAGTCAAAACAGGGAGCACAACCCAGCAATCTGCAGGGAGGAGGCAAGGAAGATACAAGATAGGAGCATCTTGTCTTGCTAGAAAGTAAGAATATACTTTAAAAAATGATGTAGGTATGTCACAAGGACAAAGGAGCCAGCTTAAAGGGGCTCTCTATGGCCAAATTAGGGACAATTTCACTCTCAAGATCACTAAGAGCAGTAAGGACTTAAGGACAGTAATGAGTTATAAACTATTGAGGGGGGAGAATTCACAAGTGCATACTGATAATAAATAAACAGGGGAGAAGAGGAGGCTCAGGTTTATAGCAGACTCTTGAGTGCTCCTGGTAAATGGAAAGAGAGCGTGGGAGCTGGAAACTCATCATTTTGCAACTGCGACAGCTAAGATGGAATCAAGCAAGGATCATCACTAGATGCTAAACTTCAGCAAAGAAACAAAGAGCAGGATGCGGAGATTTGGATGATCCTCAAGTGTCTTCCCACGTATTGCTTACTCATTACAAGAGAAAAAGACAGGAATTACACAGTGGAGCAATTGGTTGACGCCTTGACCAGGTGATCTATGAGGGACAGGTGGACACTGGGTGCCTCCAGATGGGATAACCTGAAAAGAACACAACATCTTCTTTTCAGTAGTCCAGCTGAGGATGTATAATCTGAATATAACTACCAGACAAATCATTAGACAAACGCAAAATGATGAACAGTCTCTTTTTAAAAGGAAGGGAGGTGGACTCCACTCTTCAAAAATGTTCATGTAATGGAAGATAAAGAAAGGCTGTGGGAATGTTCCAGATTAAAGAAAGCTAAGGAGGCCTGACAACTAAATCCAACACCTGGCTCTATACTGGATCCAGTACTGGAGGGAGAAAAATCCTACAAAGAACATCATTGGATCAATTCACAAAGTCAGCATATGGATGGATAGATGAGTTAAAAGTGTTGCATGAATGTTAAGTTTACTGACGTTGATAACCGTACTGTCCCTATGATTAGGAAATCTACACTGAGATATTTAAGAGTAAAGAGCCATTATGTATGTAACTTATTCTTAAGTGGTTGAGAAAAAATTGTGCGGAGGGGAGAGAGAGAAGAAATGATAAACAAACAAATGAGTTAAAA